TCTCTTTTCATTAACCGGAATAATCTCTAAAAAAGTTTAATATTTACTAGGGTCGAGGTAATCATGTTGGCAGTCAAGCCTTGCCAATAAAAAAGGGCTCGCAGAATGTGCAATGCATTCAGGACCTGTTTTCATTGATCTTTTGCTCTTATTATTCGCATAAGCCTGGACCGTTTATGAATAGCATACCCAGTAAGATGCTGATAATCAGCAATGATTGCAGTAACCTTAGCAATGTATTTCCACATGAGTGGGTCCACGAGTGGGTCCACGAGGGGGTCCAAAGAGTAACATAATTAATTTTTTATGCGATAAGATTCTCTGGAAATCGTTGCCGAGTGCATGACCATGATTTAGAATGTAAAGCCGGTACTTTAATTGTTTCTTCTATGCCTGCTCACCTGTATTACGTTCCGTCAAACGTTCCAGTTTCATCTGAACTAATCACTTGTGCTGGTTATATTATGCTGACCTAATCCCACCAACACACGCCTGTAGTTTTTCCATTTGTTGCTGCTATACTCTTACAAGAGTATTATTTTTCATTCCGACCGAGGCTGAATATTTTCATATTTCTGCCGATTTTAGGCTGAAAATATTCTTGTGAATATTTTTAGATTATAGCGTATGGCATTTCTGATTTCGAATGTATTTGTTAATGTCATTTGGAGCCAGCCTGCAGGCATTAAAACCTGATATGACGTGCCTAACTTCTTGCAGAAATGTTATCAGCATCGAACATACGGCTAATGCTGCTTTTGTTGCTTAATTTGGCTAGTTGTGCCGTTTGGAGAAGTGAAGAATTTCATACGGTTTAAGTAAACATATAATTGTATTGTATTTACAAAATTTTCCATACAAAATTATACTACTCTTTTCAAAATCCTAGCCTCGGGTTTATTCTCAAATAAAATGATTCTTTAGGAAATTTCAGCCTCGATATTCTCATAAAACATATTCTTATTTATTATAAAGACGCGAGTCGAGTGTTTTACTGGAAAATACACCACTCGTAAAAATTAATCCTAAACCACATCCGAGACTCGGATGGCATATTTTCTATATCCTCACTAGTGAAGATATCGATGATTTCACTGATATGAAGTTTTTCTCTTAAATTGTACTTAAATTCTTGGTGTATGATCGAAACATTTTCGGATCTTCCTCGAAAGTCTTCGGTAATCTTCGGTAATCTTCGGAAATTTTCGGAAAATGTTTAGCAACGTTCGTGTGACCTTCGGACAAGTTTTGAAGAATCTTCCGAAATCTTTGGAAAGTGGTCGGAAATCTTTGGAAAATCATCAAAATCGCCGTCATCAGTATGTCTATATAATAAAAACAACATTACACCTTAGTTCGAAGATATGAATTTTATGTTCTCGTGACAAGAGCAATATCTCTTGCCACTCGAACATAAAATTCATATCTTCTCGCCACTGTGTAATATCCTCTGTATGTATAAAAGGTCATAAATAGGTGTATCATATAAAATAAAGGCTGCCATGATAAGGTCTGTTCGCGTGACGAATTCAGCTCTTGAGCCTTATCTCATTGCATTCAGTAATGAGTGATGAGACTGGAATATAATTCGAAGGACGCCGTACGTACACTGTGGAAATATTCTTGCAGCGGTGTGGAAAGCTGACAGGTTTTGGGTTCTGGAAAATTATATGCTCCTAAGAGCTTGGCAAACATCTTGGCCCAAGAGCTCAGTTCAAATGCAGCAACTTTAGTCCGCCGTGAGGTGATCACATAAATAAACCCTTTAATTTTGCAAACAGGGCTTTAGCGCAATACGTTACAGGATGAGGGAGATTAATCAATTGATAGTTTTGGAGAGGCAACTAGAACGTTGTAGCTATACTATTGGTACGGAAAACTTTTTTTCGCTTTATCCAGCGGAGCAGACGCAACAGAAGACTACAGGTCTTTGGAACTTAATTAGCAAACGTGTTAACGGTAGAATATACCTCAGAAGTAACATTTATCCGTAATGTCCTCTGGGTTTATGTTCCACTAGCAGCAATACGTTTTGTGATACTTACAAACCCTTGGGCCTCTACTGTTATTGATCTCCCTTATTACTCAATACAAAGAAACATTTATTTGCTCAGCAAGTGACAACCTCGATTCTACGCACGAGAGAAGCGTAAGAGACTTTTATAAATGTTTTACCGGCTCCGAATCTGTACTAAGACAACTGGTGAGTACAACTTTAAAGACGTTAGACTAGTGGAGTCGTCAGTTGTGTCTTATGAAAGGGAGCATTTCAGTTTAATTTGGGAAGGGTGGTAAAGATCCAAGTGGTAACTGGATCCGTTACATGTCTTACTGAGTCCTTTGCTGGAGGACAAACGTTGCCGTCCAATGCTGGGAAAAACGGCATGCAAAGGAATAGGCTTAGTCAAAATCATAGAGTCACTCTGTGATCAGACGATACCAGTGGCTTCCAAGACGTGATTTCTAACTCTTAAGATTGCCAAAGACCAGCTAGGTCATCGAAATGTGTAATTACTGATATCGTCGACGAGGGCTTTGGTCTTCTTAAGAGCGAGTACCACGAAAGGTTCAACGAATCAGCAAAGCCAGTACAGCAGGCTCCCCAACAAGGTCAGCTAGGGGAAGTCGCGTCGCGCTAATATCAAAGAAAGCCTTGATGAGCTGTACAGTTCTGAAGGCACCGAGCCGGTCACAAGGCCTGGCCATGTATCTCCTTTATATTGTCTGTCTAGAAAAAGATCGGAAAAAATTCTTGGGGAGAACTATCCCAAACTCATCACTATAGAGGATATCGAGCTAATCTTCTACATGGCCTTTAAGTATTTTCAGTCCTTGACGGAAGAAAAATGGGTTTTGGCACATGAAGTTTAACGAGGAGTCTTGTTATCTTACCACTAACTTTTGGTCGCTATCGGTGATGTAGAATGCCGTTTGGTATTAGTTTCGCTCTTGAAGGCTTTCAATGGCGATTCATGAATAGATCGAGGGTCGCAGTGGCACCGAGTTCGGTTACAGATGATTTTGTGGTGGCTGGTTTTAGGGAAACATAAGAGGAAGCTGTCTTTTGACGTTGTTGCTTTTCTTCAGCGGTATTTTTAGAGTGGGGTTGCAACTTGAACTGTGCCTAGACCATTACGCAACTAAATTGGGCGTAAAATGTTCACCTGACTGATACTTGCAATTGCCGCGTCCCACTGATGTAGAGCGGGGCTTATTAGGCCTCAATGGTACCGTTCAGTGTTTGGCTAAATTTCAAATTTCATCCGATTTCATATTTCAGAGTTACTAACTCGAAGTTGGGTACAAGAAAGGCTCTGGCCTGTACATCCTTTATATCCTTAGCCGAGCGCACCCTCTTGAAAGGGCGTTTTGTCAAAAGAGTCTCAAAAAGTCAACTCTCTAGAGCTTGTGGACCACATCGAGACGTTTTTCCATTTCCCGTGGCACTAATTGGGAAAGAATTCTCCTATAGTCCAGAAAGGCTGGCCAGACAATATTCACGATTGCGATTGCAATCCCACCCTCTGTCCCTTTTTCCATTCACAAGGGGAACAGATTGTCCAAGGACACTTGAATTTTCCGTCGCTCTCGTTTTTTGAAGTTGCTGCTGAGCACTGTGCTGCTCCTTTTGGCTGAACTGTACCTGTGATGCAGTTTCTTGGGACTGAATTCATGGCACCGCTTCCTGCATGTGGCCACAACCGCAAGATGTTGGGAAATGTTACAATGTAGGTTGCCAGGTCATTGGTATCAGTTACTTGAAAGCGTGAGTGACTAAACTAATTTTGAAGCTTAGAAAGCTTTTTGTTTTCATCAAGGCTGTTTCCAGCGTATTAATTGGGGATCCATTTTCTACTTTTATGTTAAAACTGCGTTCTAACTGTCAACATGTCCTTTACAAATAACGAAGATCTGTAGACTAATATATTAAACTAGAAGTCGGTATGGCTGGGTCCTGCTCTGGAATCGCTTTACTTCCATAACCAAACACCCGCTTAAAACGTACATTACTCATGTTCATTGACTTTTATTTTAAGAAGTAACGCTTTCACAAACTAACAATTAAATATATCACAAACATTGCAGCAGTAATTTAATGTAAATACATTGGCAAGCACAAATGCTTACACGCTAAATACAAGTTACACAAAAACAGACCGCAGTTTTGTAGCTGTCACAGCCAAGTGAATGTTGATGGCGGGAATCTATTAGTCACGTGAACTTGTGTTGTCAACGTCATGTGACGAAATATCTCCGCCACGTCGGCTAGGGCTGGAAGGTCACACAAACTAACGAGACAAATAGTCTCCCCACTTATGACAGCTAAAAAAACTGCCCTCTGTTTCGGTATCTTATATATAGTATGTCTGCAACAGAGTCGTGCAAGAGAGAATCCTTTTGCAAAATAGTTATATGTTACCGTATAATTTTAAATTTTTTGTTATATTGACGTGCCGGTCCATTCAGTTATTTTGACTCGGTTCCTTTTACTCTTATGCAGGTTTGTTTTTTATCTGTAAAGTAAAACTGAACATAAAAGCAGTTTCAAATTCACCTCATCCGCCACGTCATGTAAATAGCCTAGTAGTCATCCACAAGCTGGAATTCCTAACAAGCTCAGTTTGCTATAACTTCAGTTTACATTATTTCTCTGTAATACAAGTAATGTAAGCAAGAGAGGATGAAGAGTAAGAGAAAATTTCTCATCCATAAAGGCTGTATTCCTAAGGTAAATTCCTTTCAAGTTATTTTAGATACGGTATCCAATATTCCCTCGCGTGTTGCGCAGATAGTAAAATAGATTGGACTGTCCATGTGAGTCTACTTGTAGACCCTCCTAGGATTACCGAGCTGGGAGTGCTCTGAAAATAATCTGACAGGGATTACCTTGGGACAGAATTGGGAATATTAAAGATCTTATGATAATGATAATGATAATGATAATCAAAATGATTTAATATTAGTTTTTATCAAGTATTGGTTNCGCAGCAACAAGTAATGTAAGCAAGAGAGGATGAAGAGTAAGAGAAAATTTCTCATCCATAAAGGCTGTATTCCTAAGGTAAATTCCTTTCAAGTTATCTTAGATACGGCATCCAATATTCCCTCGCGTGTTGCGCAGATAGTAAAACAGATTGGTCTGTCCATGTGAGTCTACTTGTAGACCCTCCTAGGATTACCGAGCTGGGAGTGTTCTGAAAATAATCTGACAGGGATTACCTTGGGACAGAATTGGGAATATTAAGGATCTTATGATAATGATAATGATAATGATAATGATAATGATAATGATAATCAAAATGATTTAATATTAGTTTTTATCAAGTATTGGTTGAAATCAATTAAAGAACTAACTTCAGTGCACACGATGATGACCATATGATGATAATTACAATTCGATGCCGTGCACGTGGCACTCAAATATGCTATGCCAGGAAAAGTAAACATTTTTGTAAGAAAAGCTTTGGGGACAAAATGGCACCCAATATCGATCATACCACACAAAAGTTGACATCGAAAACTTGGCCTCATGACAAAAATCCTGTTTCTCACTATCCTTTATCAATAATTGTATCAGCGACTTCAAGGAAACATTTCCCTTCAGTCTTAAACAAGGTAACAAGCGTCTCTCTACGAGCGAAGAGTTTTTCACATTATGGCTACGCAAACTGAGTCGAGAGCAAAACGATCGGCCAGAATGCGGAAACCTCTTCGCTTCTATGAGAACATTTGCTATGCAGGCGACTCCAGTCTACACTGATTAATGTTATTCTACAGCTTAGAGCTAAAGTTTTCCATTTCCACATTTCGTCTGGTCTCTTGCTGGTCACCGTTGTACGGCAGGAAGGGCAAATACCTGGCTACTTTGAGGTTACCAAGGCGTCGGAAACAAAACGGCAGATCATAGACTTTAATAGAAGCTGTTTGAAACTGTTCGTCATCGCCAACTGAAAGATGTTGCCTCCAAGCCTTGAGCCCGCGTTCCTCAATGGTACCCGGAATGGTGTTGTCCAGAATCAGTGCAATAAAGCAACCCACTGCCATGCTTGTTTTCAAGAGGACCGTCACTATCTGGTCAATTTCAGAAACACCTATTAAAATATTGACGTTAGTGCCTTAGAAGGAATTAAGAAATCACCAAGTTATAAATCTTGATCGGTTGCCTTTACACAGCATCAGAGTTTGTCATGCCTAAAACTGCATAATACTCCTGTCAAAGAGACTGCGCAACTATTCTGTAATGGTCAGGGTTTTAAAATTCTTTCGAATATATCTTTTGAAATCTAGCATGAAGAGTGAAGCATATCTTGGACACTCTTGTTCCTTCAGTTACATGACGTTTAAAACAGTCTTGCGTATCCTGCTTATAAGGACCATTACACGCTTATTCAAATAGTTCACGTTTCAACCTGATCAGTGGATCGACTTGTATCTGTTAACCCTGACAACAGGCTAATGCTGGAAACCTTAGCTGCTTAGGTCTAAAACAGAGTTCAACGTGTACATTGATTTGTCATTCATAACCATAGTTCATAACAGGTAACTTGACTTGCCAGCTGATACAGCAGAACCATGATTAATCGCGTACCTGTTTCAATTGCGTTAGGATGATTTTCCATGTAATGTGGCAGAGCTAATCCAAACACAATGGAAAATCCAACGATGAACAAGTTTCTGGAGGAATTCATGTCAGCAAATTGTAGATTTGAGATGCCAACTGCAGCGATCATTCCAAACATGACCATGAAAACTCCACCAACAATGGGATCTGGAATGCTGACGAAAACCGCGCCAATTTTACCAACAACACCGATAGCCATTACAACCATTGCACCCCACTGGACGACACGACGGCTTCCAACCTGAGAAGGACCAATAAAGTACACGTTAGGTGTCTTTGAAACGAATATTTGCTCACTCCATCCAACTCAACTCAAAACGCCAAGAGCTCTTCTGGTAGCTGCTATCAGTCTATTTATGATCTCATCCTATCCAACATGCCCATCATGAAATAAAATAACTATCTAGTCTTTCAAACATTTTATAGTTTATAAAATATATATCACTGAGTTTATGATAACTTTGCACCAAAGTAGCCATACGCCCTTTGATTTCACAACTTCAAATGGAATCGAATCGGCTCACACTTTTCATAACAACAGAAAAAGACAACGTGGTTACTTTTGTGATCCCGATGGCTCCAATGTTCTCACTGTACGAAGTTGTTCCATTTCCGGTACCAAATGCTCCCGCCAAAAGACAACCAATTCCTTCCCACGCAATTCCACGGTTGATAGCGTGTTTTGGGGGTGGAGGTGCTCCTGACAATCTTGCGCAGGCGTAGTAGTCTCCCACAGATTCAATAATGGAGGCCAACACCCCTGCAAGCATCCCAAACACCCCGGCGGCGCTTACAGTAGGCATTCCCCACTGACCTGGTAAACGACCAATATATCATTGAATAGCAGTTTGGTATGGAGAGGAAAGCAATTACAGTACCAGAAACGTAAGCAACCTCATCAGCATGAAATAAAACAAAGTTATCTATTGACCTACCTGGATACGGAAACCTGAACCATTTAGCTTCTTTTAGCACATTAGTCCTTGCGTCAGTTCTCGCCATGTACTGAGGAATGCTGGAATCAGAAGGAAAACCTCCCGCTACAGTGATGACGGCACAAATTACCCATGATACTGCGATCGCCAGGATGATCTGTGTGATAAAAAAAAAAACAAAAAAACAAAAAACACAGGAAACGAGTTGCTGTACATTTTTCGCGAATAAATAGATGATAAATTGAATTGCGCGAACCGGTAAAGATAGACATGACAATTTGCCTTATTCCCAGGTAGTCAGTGTTATCAAAATTATAACAGACTAATTGGTTTTCTTCCTCTGCAACATGTAGTACAGAAATCTAGAGTTTTTAAGTTTACATCGTTTTACCTTGATCGTAATGTGTAAAAATTATTACAACTTTGAAAACTCTTAGTAAAGTCACAAATCCCCAAAATTTCTTGGTTGTATTATAAATGTTAGTTATCCTGGCCTCCATTCTGTTCTCGACAACACTTTCATAAAATTACTCTAATAGTGTGCACGAATTAAAATTCGTGAACCACACATACCCACACATACCCATACCGTTAGCAGAAATACCCAGTATTTAATAGTGATCAATACTCACTGGAAATATTCTGAACAATGGAAAGCGGCCAACGTAAAGACCTCCCCGTCCTCCGCTGTATGCAGGCACAGGAATCTTGACATTGGTTAGGTATTGCGAAAACAACGCTATTAGGACGATAGTACTGAAACACAAACAGGCGCATACAATGTAGACAAATTACAATATTGATCATCATCGTCATCATCGTATTAAAGGCCGTATTGCATGCAATGTCGATCATAGTCGGGTAAATAACTTATCCAAAAGTCCCTTGCACGTGAGCTAAGTAAACGTTTTAGCAGTTTAAAAACCATAATTACAAGTTATTTTGCCACAGGTAACTAGAGAAATGCCGGGGTATGAAGACAAAGAGTTAACCATTGTGAGATTAAAGGAAGAGAATACGGAAATAAACTGAACCACTTACGTCATTGAAATTCCCCAGTGATTTCCTGTGAATATAAAAGAAGAACCATCAACATTTATTTAATCCTTTATCCAGTTCTACTGCTCCCATTTCAACGTATATTGAAAAACAAACATTACCACCTGCAATCTGAGACACCGTAAGTCGCGTTACTGTGTGTGTAGAGTCGTGTCTTGCATGCCTTGGTTGATGAACTACTAGATGGCTTGACACAGAGTTGAGATATACGATGATAAATACGAGCCTTTATACATGAGTAAGATATATCGCTTACATCAGTGATAGTGTTATATCAGTTATTTTAACATGGAAGTCCTTCTGGCTTCACTCCGAAAACGAGTTTTCCTTACGAGCCAAGTCCTCCAACCTGACAGAATTCTGACAAAAGATGTGAAAATGGTACACTTGAGGGATGTGGCTGAAAATGGCGTCACTAGGGTAAGTTCAAAGCCACGGAATGTGCATTGTTTTGTTGGTAGCTACACAGGTTTACGTCTTTCACAATTGTCGTCTCTGTGGGCATTTCTTAGCCACAAGCGAACCCTTGCCCTTTAAGTCTGACAAAAAGTCGTATTTACCTGCGTGATCCGCTGCTACTCTAAAGAGTGCCACGCCTACCAAAGTGATTGTAGGTGCTATGGTAAGCGGTCCAATGAAGCGAAGAAGAACGCCAACAAGACCAGTGAGACCGATTACGATTTGGAACAGCGACGAGATCATTATGGCGCCTTGAATCTAATATAGCAAAGAAAAAAATCAACGATACAGGGATCCAATCAATCGATCAAATGATTCATTTATGTATGAATCGATCGGTAGAAGCTGAAAAATAGATTCGGATGGGATGGTTCGTGCCAGTAGCTTGCCCTTATCCGCCATTACCCAATCAGAAGCCGTGTCTACTGTCCTGATATTCTGCGATATCGAATCACTGACCTGATATGGCCGGATCTATGGCCGAATTTGGGTACGGGAAATACGTAATCGTGCCTTTATGGAAGAAATAGACGTCAATATCATTTGCAAATTACCATACGCAGTCAATCAGTCAATCAGTTAATCAATCAATCAATCAATCAATCAATCAGTCAGTCAGTTAATCAGTCAGTCAATCATTCAGTCAGTCAGTCAGTCAGTCAGTCAGTCAATCAATCAATTAATCAATCAATCACACTCCTGTTGTAGAGCTTACCTCTCTCATGCGAGGTTTCCAAATCTCATCGCTGTCGATGAGTAGGCTTTCCGTCGAGTTACAAGATGCTTTGGAAATAAAACACTATATGTAAGTATCTAAAAGAACACGTGTAGGAACAGTGTTTATCACTCAATATGGAAATTATTAGGCAAAACTTTCATCCTCATTCATAACCTGTAATTAAAAGATTTCAGAATTTCCCATTCATTCAATGGACTATGACATCTCGTGAACGTAGATCGTTAGAAAGGTCACTGATTTATTCCACTGGCAAACAACCTAAGTTGAAACTGAAGGAAGTACTGTTTAGAATCAAAACACGACCAAACCTTTCTTACAGTGATATTCTTGCGGTTTAAACATTACCTTTGGAAATGGGACATTCCCACTGTGGTAGAGACAAGATGGCAAATGTCGGAGTAATGAAGCCAAAGGTTCCTCCTTGAACGATTGGAAGTCTGCACGTAAATACCAACGTTATCAACTCTTTAAACAGTTATACACCTGACGCATGTTCCAGACTTTAAAGCTGGCACGACCATGAGAGTTATCCAGTGATGAGTTAAATGCAAAATGAAGTTAGCATCGCCGAGATTTATTCAAGAATACGAATCTTTGGGGAATGGATAGTCAAATACTAAAAAACGTTGGTGTAATAGGTGCAATTTGTAAAACCAATAAATATGAGAAAATGTCTAAGCAAACCACGGTGAGTGTAAAATGCAGGCAGTAGATTGTAGATTAATCCATCCTGAAACCCTAATGCAATGCTCTAAAAGATATGTATCAACTTTGACCTTACCCTAAACTATAACCCAATTCCTAAAAGCCGGCTAACCATTAAGCTAATCTCGACAGGTAAATAATGGTTATTTTCTCTTAGGTGAGCTAGGCAATCCCCACTTTTTTATCCATAAATCTAAATTACATACGGTTTGACTATAATATATCGCTATTTAGAGAAAATTTAATATTTCTCCTTTAAGTTTTTCCTAGTTATTTTTATTTAATTGCGTGCATGCGGTAATTATTAATTGTTTCATAATACTTATCCCTTTGCGATTGAAGCAATTTATGATGTAACAAATAACAATGTAACAAGATATATTTTGTTCAACTGCTGCAATGTTTAATGCCCAAAAGATATTTTGCACAAATTATACTGAGTTCACCTTTCTCATTAAGTCGTTTCTCATTTTAATGGAATCCACTCAGACAGCTCACCTGATTCCTAAAGTCGTCTGTAGCAGGGTAACAAGACCAGACACAAAGTATATTGTACTCAGTACTTCACTGATGACAAGTGTGTTGTTCGCAAAACGCATCGGACCACTCAGAATGAAAGGAATTGCCAATGTTCCACCTAACATGGTCAGGAAATGCTAAAATGGAAAACGTTAGGTTTGCAATTAGTGCAGTCAACATCTCCTCCGGTTACCACTTGACAAAGTTTTTGATATATTTTTTAGGACTTTTCGGCATTTTTCTGATGATTCAGTTGTGTCAAATACACAATCAAAAGGCAGCACTATGAGATGCGATGTTGTCAAGGTGCACATTCGCTTTCTTATATTGGACACCTCTCACTAGGCCATTTTTGGCTTTTGCCTCTGCTTCAAAACGACTCTTCGCGTGAAACCATTCATATGAAAATGTGTTCCGCCTACAGGTTCATTTTAAAGTAAAGCAACTTTTTTCCTCATGAAAGGTTTCGCAGGACGACTTGTTTTGAAACGGAGAGAGAGGGCAACTCGGAAATGGCCAATTAACGTACTGAAGCCATCAAAGAGTTGTCAAAAAAGATGTGAAATGACGATACCACAAAAATGATACCGTAGATGAACAAGATCAAATTAGTGCTCTAGGCTTGAGGTTAATTAAATGAGATAACCAACCAAGCAATAATTTTAAATTAACATTATCTCTCATGAAAAGGAATATAACTTGTTAGTCTTACCTGGAAACCCAATAATAAGCAGATGTACCATGGCGGGTTCTCGTCGATAAGGTAAGACAAGCCAAGAGCTTTCTTTTTGTTTTCAGGCCGTGGTTGACTACCAGCCTGGGGCTCGGATATCTACAAACCCAGGTTCAAAGTCTATTAGGAGATGACTAATTACCAAACTTTCGTCAACACCTTCCCTTGTGTAACGGTTTCGTTATGTGGATGGACTCCTTGAAAAACAGGAGCATCGCACAACAAGCTAATTTATCATAATTCAACAGGAACTAAAATTGCCAAGAAGTAACCAAAACATAAGCATTTCTAAAACAATTTCCTAATTGCTAGCAAATTTTTCAACTGTTTTTTTTCCCAGGAGGAACCTGTTTCCCAGCACGTTCTCTGCAGCAGACATGAAAATTCATTTTACCACACTCCCACGCCGGAGGAATTCGAAAATGGGGGTTTCACCGGCTCTGAAAACGCACCAAATGTTTCCGATCTGTCCACATTACGCCGGAAGAATTTAAAAACGCAACAATCACTGATCATTTTTTGAGGAAAACTCGGACAAGGAAATTACATAATTGTCGTGACGTCATCGTTTTCATAAAGTTTCGTTTTAAAATTGTTGCCGTCCACACGAAAACGCAAAGCCGGCGTGTTCAAATTCCTCCGGTTTGAAGAGCGTTTTTGAAAAGTTCCGTTTTCGTGACGGATAAGTGTGGACGGTAGGTCTGACCGTGTAAATAAACTGCTTTTTTTCTGCCGCAGTGTGCACGGGGCATCAAGATGATCGCAGGGCATAACCTACACACTAAAGGAAGGAATCAAACACAACCTAGTAATCCCTGCAGAAAAACTGAATGCGTGTAGGGGTTAGATTACCCAGGGTGAGTGCCCCAGGGTTTCCTCTCCTTTAAGTTTTAAAGAAACAGATTCGTTGGACGCGCCTAAGAAAAGCAACGTTGAGATAATTATTTATTGTCTGGCTTGTTCAAGACTGACCCGGCCAAGCATATGTACAAATTCAAAAGCTGCAGGATCTTATTCTGCAACTTACTCCAGGGAGCATGTCAACATTTTCTCTGGGGACAATAAAGTGGGGAAAAGGGGCGGGGGAGGGGGAGGAGGGAGGGAGAGGCACTAGTGATTCACTAGAAAATCTCCCGTTGTCCGTGAGGTGTTAAAAATTTAACCTTGGAAAGTACGAAACGTCATCACGTATCTTGCATTAGGGCCGGGCTGCACTAGAGCCAGTTTGAGCCAATTTTGTTTGTATAAGTAATAAATCTGTCACCAAGTAGGGTAAAAAAAGTGCGACCCCCAGTTTCAAAAAGTTGCCAATGTTTTACAGATTGCCAAAATTTCGCCAATCTTCAAAGAAGCCAAAGTGCTGCCTCGGAGGCTTTCAAATTTTGGCAAAGCAAACAATTTTGTTCTTTTTTGAACCATTTAACTGTCATATTTTTTAAAATATGTCCGGATAAAATTACCGCGAGAAAATAACTTTGACGGCTAGTCCAGTTTAGCGCGTGCGATGGCGGGTCAAAATCATTTTTTACCCGGTCAGTCTGACGCTTTTTACAGTTATTTCAATGCAAACGAGGAATATGAGCAGCGTTTTTATTCAAATTCT